CATACACACACATATACACATCACACACATACACACACACACCACACACATACACACACCACACACATACAAACACACACACCACACACAGACACACACACACACACACACACATACATACAAACCACACACATACACACACACCACATACACACACACCACACACACACACACCACACACATACACACACATACACACACACATACACCACATACATACACACACACGCATACACACACACCACACACACATACACACACACACACCACGCACACACACATACATACATAAACACACACCCACACACAGTCTTGGCCAGTCAGCTGTGTCCGTGACTCACTACTGCTGCCGTTTACTAAACACTTGACCTCTGTTGACCCCACTGATAAAAAAGTCAAGGCTGTCCTTGAGCTGACCCAGAGGCCACCTTTAGTCCGTCACACATGACTGCCCCCCCCCCCCCCCCACCCCACCCCCACACACAGCCTCACGGTATAGAATATACACTCTCTGCCTGTTCCGCGGGCCCACTACAGAATACTTGCCAGTTAGATTGTGCTGGGAAATTTTGCCTTGAACTTTGAACTCTACATATCCCTCTATGCAATGGGAAGACGGAGAAGAAAAAAATACTTAACAAAGCAATGGGGGGATTAACATCCGAGCTGGAAATACAGTATGACAACAGCAACAACACACACCTAAAAAAACAAGGACAATACAGTACAACAACAACTACAACAAAGCGACGGACATTCCGTCCAGCGTAACTCCACCCACAAGTGGACCGGCTGTTCTACTGTACACAATGACAACCCACAGTTCACTGTTCACCATTACATTGACTATTTACACAACTCTCTTGCTCTAAACATGAACGATTCATGGGTGCCATAGACAATACAATAGAGTTTGTCATCATGGTGAAATCAGATGCTCATCAAAAAGTAATTAAATTGAAGAAACCAACATTGTTTCCATCTCTTCGGCAATGTTTACCGATGACAGAGTGGCAGACTGACAGTGACAGAGTGAGAGTGACAGTAACAGAGTGACAGTGACAGATTGACAGTGACAGGCTGACAGAGTGACAGTGACAGGCTGACAGTGACAGACTGACAGAGTCAGACTGACATAGTGACAGACAGTGACAGAGTGACAGACTGACAGTGACAGAGTGACAGAGTGTGGCGCACAACTGAAACAGCCAGCCAGTATCTCAGTCTTTGCTGGCACTAGCATAGAAATATCACCCGTGTGGTTCTCGGGGCCCTGTCCAAGAGATAGGGGAGCAAAGAATAGGACCACTGTATCCGTACCGCGCATGTCATAGAAGGCGACTAAGGTCGGTTGGGAAAAGGGTTAGCAGCCCTTTCCCGTAAAACAAAAAGTAGCTATAAAAACATCAACAGTAAAAACAACACGACCGCCAGTTCTGCAAGATGGAGGACCTTCACCACCGAGGAGAGGAGAGAGCATGGAGTGTAGAATGACGCAGGGTGGTGAAAGCCGAAAGGAAGCCACAAAGCCGAGAAACCTCCTGTCGACCAGAAGAACCACCAGACTTGGCACCTGGAATGTTCATACAATGTACAAGACAGGGAAGGCACTGCAGGCTGCAAGAGAGATGGAGGCCTACCAACTGGACATATTGGGTCTCTGTGAGACGAGATGGACGAAAGTAGGGGAGTGCCAACTTGCTTCAGGGGAAACAGTTCTCGATTCTGGACATCTGGAGGAAAACTCGCCGCATACAGAAGGAGTAGGTATTCTGTTATCAACACAAGCCAAGCGGGCTTTGATAGGATGGAAAGCAAAGGGCCCGCAACTAATGAAAAAGTGGGAACATCATGGAAACAGATAGAAAAGGATGCTCATGACAGGCTTTGCTGGAGTAATGCTGTCGATGGCCTGTGCTCCACTGGGAGTTAAAAAGGGAAAGAGAGAGAGACAGTGCACGTAGAAAAACCACCGTCCCTCATCACAATGTGACAATCTGTGAGAAACAAACAAAACAGAACCTTGCCCACAGTACAAGTCTTCCCTCCCACGTGTAGCGACCACAGTACAAGTCTTCCCTCCCACATGCAGCGACTGCCCACAGTACAAGTCTTCCCTCCCACATGCAGCGACTGCCCACAGTACAAGTCTTCCCTCCCACATGCAGCGACTGCCCACAGTACAAGTCTACCCTCCCACATGCAGCGACTGCCCACAGTACAAGTCTTCCCTCCCACATGCAGCGACTGCTCACAGTACAAGTCTTCCCTCCCACGTGTTACGACAGCCCACAGTACAAGTCTTCCCTCCCACGTGTAGCGACTGCCACATCCCGTGGCAAATGAACACAGGTCTAATACCCAAGATCATAACTCACATGCACACATAAAAAACAACACACAGCAGAAGCGAATAATTCCCACATACAATGACAATGTAAATAACACACAGCACAAGTGAAGCACGTGGAACTTTTCCCTGCTACCTCTCTACAGAACAACAACCCTTCTGACTTGAGCACAGAGAGATACACCAGGCAGGCCACACTCCAGCTCACAGTATTAGCCACACAACACACAGCAGACGGTGTGTGTGAACAGAACTATGACAGGTTATTAATGCTGAACATTCTATTATGAAGCTACCAAGTGAAAGCTGACCAAAAGTCAGAGACAAGAGATCAAAGTCCACTTGTGGTCTCTTGCCAGAAACAGAGATTTCAAGTTCCTTCCAGCAACTATCAAGTGTCTCTCTAGTTCTCATTCTAGAAATAGGCCATGGATCTCAGGAAGGTTCACTTCAAGTTGGACTTGTCATGTATAATATAATACTTGAAAAGTAGACCGAAAACTTTTATAATAATAAAAAGGCTGTGCGCATGTTTAAACTTACTATAAACTTAAAACTTTCACTACCCCACGTCGTACACAGTGTAGGCTATGGCAATTTTAGAGTCCAAACACCTTATTTAAGGTTGTAGAACACAAGATATGTTGGCTCAACAGGCCACGCTCTACCCCTGAATTCCCTCCCCCCCCCCCCAAACCCCAATTTAAAAAACAAAGCGCAAAATAAATAAGCAATTAAACTTTAACTTTGAAGTCTAGCTTCAAATAAAAACCATCAACCATTTCACAAACTAATAATTTGTGCCAGAAAAAAAGTAAAGTCAAAATTAATCATGTCACTACAGTACTATAAATAAAAATTATGAACAATAATCTGAAAAGTACTTCAATACCTGAGCATGATTAAATGAGAATGAAATCAAGTGTAAAATTGAAGATTAGCAGAGACCACCCGCGGGAATACTTTTTTTGGCACTAAAAACTGTCGCAAACTAGGCCTATCTAGATCTTCTATCTCTATTATTACTTTACAATGTTGCTAAATTAACAAATAAAAATATCTAGAACTAGTCTTAGAAACTAAATCTAGATTTGCAGTCTTTACTACTATATATAATATATATATATATATATAGGCCTAGGACCAGTGCGGTTAAAAATTCATGGCACAACTTAATTGTCAAATAATCTCCTAAACTATCTAACAACACACAAGACTATCCATCCAACTTTTGCACAATGACTGACAGCTTCGGACTTAACGAGCTCGGATTCAACGAGAACTCGGATTCAACGAGATGAGATAGATTCCCCGTTTTTTTCCTTCTTTAAAATCAATAAAAATAAACCGGATTCAACGAGCACTTAAATCAGCGAGCTCGGATTCAACGAGGTCGCTTCCAGGGTGAACCGACCCTGCAGATGTGGCTTCGCTCATTTTTCTCCAAGAACCAACTTTATCTATTCCCGGAAACCCTCCATTGCAACTGCATCGTGAACCATTTTTCATTTAGTCGGTTGCATGCCACCAATCAGCGGCCTTTTTTCTCATACCAACACATGCGTTGCTGACTCTCGCACGAGTCTACTCTGGCGTGTGTCGGGGTCGGATGGGCAGCCTGCACATGTGTGACTGTGTGGGTGTGCGTCGGGGAGCAGGGGGGTGGGGGGCCTCTCGTGGTCCGGGCGTTGAACATCACTACAAACGCGTCACAGTCTTTTTTTCCCCTCGACAACTGATCATTACATTGTATTACAATGATTTAAGCTAGTCTTGACGTAGATCTTCGTAATGAATTGTGCGCTGGTCTACGGAATCAAAAGTTGCCGTTTATGGGCTCTACACAGGAACACAACTTTTTGGCAAACAATCGAGATGGCACAGGAGTGAATTTGAACGAATCAGTCTTTTTTTTTTACACAGCTCATAATATGCAATCATTTCAGTTTCAGGCACTATTTGTAACTTCTCATTATATGATTACTTGCTGAGTGCCTGTAATTATCTACACAGAACCTTGTGTTTGCTATAAAAAACCAACACTCGGATTCAACGAGATTTTAGGTCAGGCCCGGCGACCTCGTTGAATCTGAGTTCCACTGTATATCAATAATCAATTTGTCTCAACAGATCACACAATATTTTTGTTAAAAACCCATTCACTATTTTATATTCTAGAGCTCTAGAAAATTTCATACTTTATGAAAAAATGACAGGGGGCATTTTCTTCAGATTTTCAAAGGTATAGCTGGGACAACAGCAGGCTGTACTAGAATCTAGATCTAGTAATTCGCACAGGGTGTGTGTGAATAATGGAATTGTATGAGAATATTATGAAAATATATTATTCTCACAGGATGTGTGAATATTATTAAATTTTATTCGCACAGGGCGTGTGAATACTGTGTGAATACTAGATCTAGATCTATATTTTATTCGCATAGATAGGCTGTGTGAATACTATGAAATTATATTGGCACATGGAGTGGGAATAATTAATATACAAAATATTATTGGCACAGGGCGTTTCAAAAGAAGGATTCTAGGCCTGATGTATGTGAGCATTGTCGTTGGAAATGATCTTTGTCCTGTTGACTTGCCTTGGCCTTGAGAGACTTCCTCCCAAAAGCCGACAGCTAGCCTAGGCTAGATTCCAAAGTCCAAAGCCAAGACTAGGACAGCAATTAGTATAGAGGCCACACGTAATAGATCTCTAATATCTAAAATAAAAGCATCAGGAGGATAGCATGCAATAGGCCTAGGCTACAGGCCTAGAAAAGAACCTCTACAGTAGCCTACTGTCTAGAATCTAAACGCATTTACTTTTACCTGGACATTAGCAGAAGTCGATTAGCGGTTTCAAACTAGCCTAACACCACACAAAATGCAAAAGTCCTTGGTCCCGCACACAGTAACACACTGGAAGCACACACAAACAAGTATGTTTCTTCCTTTTTCCCCCCTAGGCTATGCTCTCGACTCCCCCTGCACAACGCCTCCTTCACAGTTGTATCAATCGAAGCTCTCCTCTTTCCTCTCTCCTCTCTAGAGGCAGTGCGTGCCAGTGCGTGGTGCGGCCCGAGGACACACAGCCAATCATTATCGGTTACTTCATGCTTCATAGGCTAGGCCAAGGCCAAGGAATATAAATAGCACTAGAGCTTTTGGCTGTGACGTCACCCATGTAGAGCGGCGAGCACGCTCAGCTCTGGGTGCCGCCATCTTGGAGGGATTAGAAACAGCGCTCTTCTTACGCTACGCGTCCCTCGCACAGCTATAGTCTCTATCTAATCTAGATATAGCCTATATATAAAAGTGGACTTACAAAGCTTTGTGCTCAAACTCCTACCTTATTACCTAAGCCACACCTTTGAAACTTTGCAAGCGTCCACAGCATCCATGTGGCTAAGACCTAACTTTAAAATTTAAAAAATCCACGCAAACTGTTTTCCACGAATTTTCCAAAATGCTTTTTTCGTCCATACAGAATCTTTGGAAAGTCCGTCTTCTAAGACGCCACTGTAAACAAGTGAGGTTTCCGTTCACTATCCGTGCGCCAGTACTGATTCCACACCTTTGAAATTCTGGAGTGTACAACCACGATAGCGGAATAGAGAATCAATCTATACATGCTAATTATTTTTTTTTATTATTATATTTGGCAACTTGGAAACACGAGTGTCACTTTCCTCTCAAGATGTATTGCTCTAGTCCAGTAGAGTGTAAATATAGTAGGCCAATGACTTTCAGTTGATGTTAGGGGACTGACAGTGGCGGTTCGTGGTTTATAGAACTGACCGGCCGTCATTCACATCGACTCTTTC